CAAATGCGGGTTAGTTCCATCAAAAAGTCCTCCACGAAAGCAAAATTTCTCCCAATACTTGACCCAGGAGTTCCCTTGTCTTCTTTATTAGGTTCAAAATTACAAGGCTACGGAGTTGAACACTGGTAGTCGTAAACCCAAATTTGGGTCGGCTGTTCAACGACGGTCATAAAATAAAATAAAATTAGTATAACCTGAGTTGTGGTGACTCAGGGGATAGAGCGTTCACCTTCCAATGAAATGAACCGGATTCGAATCCCAGCAATGGCTGGTCAATATGAATTTCGCTAGCTGCTCGCACCTACGCAAGCGCTGACGTAAAATATTTTCAGTTTTAGTCGAATCGTGGGTTCGAGCTTTGCCGTCAGTGGACCAATCATGGGAGGTATTCATGGTTTTCCACTCCATGCAAAGCAAATGCGGGTTAGTTCCATCGAAATGCCCTACTCGAAAGCAAAATTTCTCCCACAACTTTATCCATGAGTTCCCTTATCTTCTGGATTAGGTTCAAAATTACAAGACTACGGAGTTGAATATTTATAGTCGTAAGCCCTAGCCTCCACGAAGGTTAGTTTCTTCTAATGCTTGAAACAAGAGTTCTCTTTTCTTCTCAGCTGGGTTTAAAGTTACAAGGCTTAAAATTTGAACATTCATTGTCAAAAACACAGATTTGTTTGGACTGATCAACGCCGGTTATAAAATTAAATAAAGTCAACAGATACTCGTATAAATATTTCAGTTTGAATGCAGCAGACGCTTTAAGCACAGTTTTCCCAACCAACAACGTTATCCGTTGACGAATTACTAACTAATTTTAAATCGGGGAAGCGCAATCGGTCAAGTGACGCAATCACGATGATTCCAGTCACTGTCTGCTTTGTAGTGACGCACTTAGGGATTCACTGGTAAAAAGAAACAAGTTCCGGTGTACCGTCGGATATGACATCATATGCGCATCGTCAAATAATAAACCATCTATAGCTTCATCACTGTAAGTGTAAAGACGTTGTTTTCATAAAGTTTAAATATAATGGAAACGCTTGCGGTTTTTCAGATAATTCAGCAATTGTACTTCAAAGGACAACCGAAAATGACAATTACAAATGACAATTACATATGACAACTACAACTGACAATTTCAAATGACAATTGACAATTATGACTTACTATAATATTGTAGCAACTTTTAAAATTAAAAATAATAAAGTAAAACTAACTTCAGTAGTGTTCAATTATCATATCTGATTCAGAAGTTGAAAATTTCTTTTTTCAGTAAAGCCATATTCTAAAAATTTGAAAAAAAAAGAAGTCAAATTAAATGAAAAACAGAAATGCAATGAGGAAAACTATCGAAATAAACAAGCCAAATTCTGAAAGTATGAAAGTACGATTAAGAAAAGAGTTTGATGGTATGTCCCAAACCATGAACAAATAATGTAAAATTTTGGATGATGGTGGCCATCAAATGATGTGGACCATCATGAATCGCACTGAAACGAACATAAACCATCAAAATTTTTTGATGGGGCAATCAAGAATTTTGATTTGGGCATCCATTAGTTAGTTTTTAAAATGTTTTTAAGTTATTAATATAAGATTTTCAATCTTTAGATTTATGCATCCTATACCTATCGATCCTTGGAAAGGTATTAAAAATGCTACAGAGCCACCTTTCTCCTGTGTTCAAATCAATGATACGCAATTTGGTGAATTCAAGGGGTCAACAATGTGGAACGCCAACAGCCCTCTTAGTGAGGATTGCCTTACGCTGAGTGTTTGGGTACCAAAACCCAGGCCTAAAAGTGAGTACTATCTTTAAGATATGATCCTTTGAATAACATTACTAACCAAAACAAAGAGTAAATTTGTTTATGTTATTTAAAAGGAAGTTTTTAAGTGTTTTCTATTCTTAAAGGGGAAACACCACCACCGGAAGATACCTATTGCCCCTAGTGGAGTAATGTTTGTATCGCAAAAAGCAAATTGAAAGATAAGACTTCCTAGATACTAAGTCTCCATAAGGTTATCAAGTTTTATGTCCCTGTTCCCTAAAAAAAAGGCTTCCTACACGCTAAGTCTCTAGAAGGTTATCAAGCTTTATGTCCCTGCTCCCTAAAGATAAGGCTTCCTACATACTAAGTCTCCATAAGGTTATTAAGTTTTATGTCCCTGTTCTTTCATCCTCTGTGCGGTCTTGTCCTTCCGACTACTGGGCTTGCAGTTGTCTAAGTGGCCAAATTATACTTTTCATCCACAGAAAAAACGACTGCCGTTGGATTTCAGAGCGACCGTTTGTCCGTTTGTCACGTGCCTTGGAATACGTTCTTTACCACAAAGTGAAGTTTCTTCCTTTCTACGTTTAAAAGTTCACGTGATCGAAGAGATCTCATGAGAGGTAAGATCCTTGAAGATAGAACACCACCGTTTAGAACACCAGAGAGTAGAATACTCTTTATTTGTGGTCAGGAATGTGTGATCTAAGGCACGTGACAAAAGGAAAATCTGTTGTCGGTCAGCCTTATAAAATTTGAATCTCCTGCATAAAAATAGATAGAGAGCCTTGGTTCTACCTCTTTTTATTTAAACACTAGCTGAGGAAAAGATAAAATTGAAATATTTGTTTCTTGTCAGTCCTTAAGTAGAAATTTCTAAATTTGAAAATATTTCACATCCACTCCAACCTAACACAGCCATGAAACTTAAGGATGTGTTGCAATGATGGATCAGCCTAATTTCGATTTAATCTTTCGCTATGGAAATATTTTCACCTAATATTATTGGCCATTCACTTTTGAGGGAACTAGACTTGGGACACTGCTCCAGGAGGGAATGTGGAGCATTTTTGATACTTTTATTTCAATTAAGAAGGGAGTAATTTTAAAATTCAAACCCAAGCATAATTACGGCAAGAAATCAATCTAAGTGTACTTAATTGGTTCAATAAAGTCAAATTAGTTTATGAATTATTATTTTTTAAATCTCATACATTTAATTGAATTTAAAAGTTTTCATAAGTTTTTTACATTTCACGGCACATTTGCTTTACATTTTCTCATTAAAACAGTTACAAACATGAGCTATGCAAAATATATTTATCTAACCTCAATAGATATTAAAAAATCAAATAAATACGATGATATTAACGAATAAATTAATATCTATCCTCAATAGATATTAAAAAATCAAATAAATACGATCATATCAACAAAAAAATTAATATCTATCCTCAATAGATATTAAAAAATCAAATAAATACGATGATATCAGCGAATAAATTAATATCTATCCTCAATAGATATTAAAAAATCAAATAAATACGATGATATCAACGAATATATCTATCCTCAATCGATATTAAAAAATCAAATAAATACGATGATATCAACAAATAAATTAATATCTATCATCAATAGATATTAAAAAATCAAATAAATACGATGATATCAACGAATAAATTAATATCTATCCTCAATAGAAATTAAAGAATCAAATAAATACGATGATATCAACGAATTAAATTAATATCAAATCGGATTTAACAAATATTTGGGACATTCACCAAAGCGACAGCGTGATTGTGGACATTCACCAGTGAATGTCGACATTCTCTTGACTTCGGTCACTCACGTTAACAAGTCAAATGCTAAATACAATATTTTTTTCACTTATTTTGACCTAAATTAATACAAAATTATGGAAAAGTGGGAAAAATATGTTTAATGAAAATTCTGCGTCAAAGAGTTAAGAGTTATTTATCCTCAATAGATATTAAAAAATCAAATAGATACGATGATATCAACGAATAAATTAATATCAAATCGGACCTAACAAATATTTGGTACATTCACCAAAGCGACTATGTGATTGTGGACATTATCCGGTGAATGTCGACATTCTCTTGATTTAGGTCACACACGTTAACAAGTCAAATGCTAAATACAATATTTTTTTCACTTATTTTGACCTAAATTGATACAAAATTAAGAGAAAAGTGGGAAAAATATGTTTAATGAAAATTCTGCGTCGAAGAGTTAAGAGTTATTTATCCTCAATAGATATTAAAAAATCAAATAAATACGATGATATCAACGAATAAATTAATATCAAATCGGACCTAACAAATATTTGGTACATTCACCAAAGCGACTATGTGATTGTGGACATTATCCGGTGAATGTTGACATTCTCTTGATTTCGGTCACTCACGTTAACAAGTCAAATGCTAAATACAATATTTTTTTCACTTATTTTGACCTAAATTAATACAAAATTATGAGAAAATTGGAAAAAATATGTTTAATGAAAATTCTGCGTCAAAGAGTTAAGAGTTATTTATCCTCAATAGATATTAAAAAATCAAATAAATACGATGATATCAACGAATTAAATTAATATCAAATCAGATTTAACAAATATTTGGGACATTCACCAAAGCGACTATGTGATTGTGGACATTATCCGGTGAATGTCGACATTGTCTTGATTTCGGTCACTTACGTTAACAAGTCCAATGCTAAATACAATATTTTTTCACTTATTTTGACCTAAATTAATACAAAATTGTGAGAAAAGTGGGAAAAATATGTTTAATGAAAATTCTGCGTCAAAGAGTTAAGAGAATTGATTATTCCCAACACGACAATCATATGACGAGAGAGACATAAGAACCTTAATAAATTTTTATCCCATTAAAACTAAATGGAAATAAAATCTGTTGTACTTTAATATTCACAAGTCATAAAAAAAGTTTTTTCCTCCAAAAACTATATTCCATTCCATTAAAGAGTCAACTTAGTTTATTTCCTCCTCAACAGCTTTTTAGCGACGTTGTTTTATTAAATCTTAACTCAAATTCTTTCTTTTTGCTCTCAAGTTGTAATATATTTCGTGTAATGATACTTTCGTGAGTTGCGTGGTAAGCGTAAGCACTCCGAAATATCACGCGACGGCTTTATACCCCATTTACCCCATCTCGTCAATCAATTAGATACCCCCGCGAAGAAAAATGGTACACTTACGATTTGAAAGTATATTCCCATAACATTTTAACCAAAATTTCCCACATTTTAAAAATTTATTGATAAAATCCATTACTTTCTCGTTAGACGAGTTTTAATTAATTGGGCAAAAATCTCTCTTCTGAATTTTGAATGAATTTGGACAAATTTTTATATTTAGCTCTCAGGGTACTTATAATTTGACTTACACCATTCAGAATTTGATTTCTAAGTATTTAATACCGAGAGTTTGAAATAAAAGTTTTAGGATGCAGAAGTTTTAAACTTTTAAGAATGTTTAGAAGTGATTTTATGACATGGGAAATTAAGTTGCTTTTAGAAGGGATAAAATAGCATATAAAATTCTTGTAATAAAATGCAAAGGTGTTAACAAGAAAAATGTTTTACAATATGTACACCGTTATACTTCTTGTTTTTAAAAACAACAGTATTATCTTGAAATTTATCGTCCCCGCAGAGGACTGATGGTAAAGACACGGTTCCCAATTAAACCCCGAAGTCAAGCATCACTGGCTGCTGTCAGTAAGCGGGTGGGTGACCACATTGATCAACCTGCGTAGGTACCTCCTTATTAAACTGTTCAACCGTAAAGTGCTTGATTTCAGGAGTAGGTCGTCGGGCTACCAAAGCAGGGGAGCCGTCCACTCTGCAGAGGATCGAAATTGCGATTTTCGGATCATCCTCAGGAATGTTTCCCAGACCGTCGCCAATAGCTCATTGTGTAGCTACAGTGCGACGCAAATGAAGTACCTAACTGACTATCTTGAAATTTATTGAGACGCATTGGAAGTTAATTAAGTCATTTTACATTGCAACTCCAATTAAAATGGGATTATTTAGTTTAACCTAGTTCAAATGTAGGTCTTGAATAGGTAGGCAATGTTTATTATACAGATATTTTATAGATTTATATACTTTTAAAGGTGTTAAGGTGCTAATAATGAAATTGTTTTACAATATATACACCGTAATACTTCTTGTTTATAAAAAAAAACATTGATTTCTTGAAATTTATCGAGACACATTGAAAGCTAATTAAGTCATGTTAAATTGCAACTCCAATTAAAATGGGATCATTTAGTTTAATCTAGAGCAAATGTAGGTCTTGAATCGGTGGGCAATGTTCATTATACAGACATTTCATGTAGATTTAAATACTTTTAAAAGAAAACTTGAATTCTTAGTTCATTCAGTAAATAACAAAGAATAAATAAGAGGAAATAAAAAGAATATAAAGATTAATTTCAGCTCTTAAGAAAAAGCATCTGACTTTCATTTTTCCAAACATTTATTCGGCTTCATTTATATAGAAAAAAGAAAAATTCATTACTTGTTTTTATTTTGAGTAATTTTACTTTCTATCAATAAATAAACTAAGATAATTACTTTCTGCTCCTAAAAAAGTGCATCCGATGTAAGTTTATTGTAAGCATTTATTAGCCTGATTTTATAAACACTCAAATAACTCTGAAAGAAAACTCTTATTTTTGCTATTTTGAGTAATTTTTAATTAAAAAAAATTAGATTATTTTCTGTTCTTAAGTAAGTTCTGTTTTTATGATTTGATTTATTTTCTGTTCTTACCTTCTAATTTTAATTTATCCCAGTCTCTTATTTGCCCAAATTAATACAGACTTGAATTCTATATAAATAAAACATTCAAAAAATAAAACACTTTTATTGTGCGATTTTAAAAACAAGGTTAAAATAATCTGTTTACTTTTCGGAATTTAAAGAAATACATCTGATTTATATTTGTTTAACACACATTTATTTCCAGAAAT